ATTATGTACTATTGTATTTCAATGTATTTTATCATGTTGTAAGCCGCCCCGAAGTTTCGGCAAGGGTCGGCATAGCAATGTTGTAATAATAATAATAATAATAATAATAATAATAATAATAATGATGATGATGATGTCTCTTTGATCTCAGGAGCTTGAAAGGATAAATGAAGACGTGCAGTTCATGAGTAACTGCTGCCAGGATATGACTAATCATTTGAAGGTACTGTAAAAGGTATCTGGTGGGGAGGGATATTTACATATGGTAATCTTGCATCTTGAAAATTATATTTTTTCTAATACAACACCTTCACCCAATACAGAAAAACAATATTTCAGTCTGAGCTAAGTTGCATTACCAGCCCGTAGCAGCTAGGGCATTGGATTAGAACTAAAGACACCTGGGTTCAAATCTCCACTCAGTCTAGAAATGCACCAGGTGAATTAGGCAGTCAGGATACTGGGTTCTGCATTTCTTCCTGGTATTGGAAAAGAAAATGGGAAATTATTTATTTCTTTTACAGAATTACAGAATAGTCATCCCACCCTTTGCTATATATAAGTGACTTATAATTGGCTTGAAATGAAAACAGTAAATATATACCATTAAATCCTTAATGGTGTTTAGTTTAATAGTTCTGGCTTGTATTCTAGGCAACCAAGGAGCAAACCCAAGATCTAATTGTAAAGACAACTAAGCTTCAAGCAGAAAAGTATGTATTTATCTTTTTTGTTAAATGTTTGGCTTGTTCACACATAATGGTTGAGTCCCATGTGCAGGCCTCTTCTGCTTTGCACAATCAACCTCCAGTTAACCCTATTGTAGTTTGTTGTAGTTCATTTGGACCCAGACACTGTGATTTGTTCATGGGTTAACCCAGAAATAACCTAGGAACTAATTGTAGTTAACCTGCAATTTGCTGCAGTAACATGGAAACTGGGTCTATATGACTTGCAGGTATTTCTTGGATAACAATTTGAATGGGTTAAGAAGTGCCAATGTGTTGCTTGAGTCTCTGAGAAATAAGGGTGGGGAAGTCATGACATGTGCAAAAGAGCTGGTGATTGGTGCAGGGTGAAGAGACAAGGTAGCTTCATCTGCCAGATTCCAGGGGTTACCTTCTGGAGTACTGAGGGGAAAGGAGGTGGAGAACAACCCACAGTGAGCCAGATTGTAGGTATGGCTCACCATTGGCAGTTCCATGATCAGCCCGTGCTGCATGGTTCATTTGCACTGTGAGTTGCTGTGTCATGCAAACTCAGCCCATGTAAGTTAAACAAGTTAGAATGCATCGTGCAGTTTCAAATGAAGTGTAAACTACAAAGCATGTGAAATAATTTAGAATTACCATAACATGACACCAACACTTTCTTTATTGCAGCCAGAGATTAGAACAGAAAGCACAAATAGCAGATGCTTTCATAGTAGAATTCCAACTGTCTCCAGAGGAAATGAATGTCCTTCGAGGCACTAGAGACGGGCCTGTGACAGAGGTAAATATCCTGCAAATGGACAGTAATAACTTTCCAGCACATTGCCAAGGTCATCTGTGCCTCCCTTTCTTCTTCCATCTTTGGAGTTAAATGCAAGAGCTGTCGTTTTAATCACAGGCTTTTATTCTAAACAAGCAAACCTGGTGGTAGATTACAGATTAACCTTTTACAGAGATCAGTAACAAAAGACATGCTGTGTTAGCATTCTACAGAACTAGTCCATTAGTGTAATAGGGCCAGCTAAAAGTTGACTTCTAACTCATTGGAATTAACAGTCCTCCTTGACAGTAACTAAAACCCCGCAATCCAAGCTCTCACGGTGGTTCCTTATTTCTCAGAGCAAACCTCTGTGTTTTCCCTCCTTCACTGACATGCCACTTTTGGATCTGTATACCTGTTTCCCCCTCCTGCTCCTCTTCAGGAAGGCTCTGTTTTTCCATGGTTTCTGGAGCAGCTTGACGCTTTCCTCCTCCCTCTATTATCTCTGTTCTTTCAGTCCTTGCCTCTGCATGCTCAGAGGCATCCCCATCCTTTATCTGAATAAGAATCTATTCCCATATCCTTCTGAGGCCCCTCTGCAGAACTAATAGGACCAGTTCCTATTAGCCAGAGCCTTTCTTTTCTGATTATCCCTGTCCATTCATATGGTATGTTTCCCATAGCAAGGCTTCTCAGAGTGGGTGCAAGTTGAGAGATTTTTCAGCACTTGGCCCTTTGCACAGCATCTGCCTAGAAGTGCATGTATAAGAGAGGCCTCAAGGATCCGAAGATTAAAGGCAGGAGGTGTGAGATCCGGTTCAGTCATTTGTGAGGAGCAGAGATGTTTTGGTGAGATTCTGAACCTCCAAATGTAGGGTTGGTGAAAATAGTTTTGTAAATTCTTGTTTTATAATAACCCTGTAAATAATTATTTAGGGGATGGTTGCCCACCCTCTGATCTGCTTGCATGCTCCTTACCTTTCATGTTGCAATCCTTAGCATAATAAAATCATTGACCTCGATAAAGGGCTGTAGTATAAACAAAAATAAAGTACCTTCCAAATTTTATTGTACTAGTGATATTTATTTATTTGTAAGCTGCTCTGAGGCTTAGGCAAATAGGGCGGCATATAAGTCTGCTAAAATAAATAAATAAATCAAAACAGCAGCAATAAAATATGATGCATAATGAATGTCATTCAGATTTCATATTTGACCATTAAGCACATCAACATATAATTCAGTACAAATGGTAGACTGTATGCCAACAAGTGCTTGTTTAAAGCCAGAAAACATTAAATCTCTGTAGCACTCTTTTACATTAGCATGAGATTTTGCGAAGTGCTGAAAAAATAAAGCCACTTTATTAATTTACTTGATGTTTCTGTTGGCTTCTTCACTGTTGCCACACCAAGAACACCAGAGAGATTGGGCCAGTTCACAGATCATTATAAGCCACAATGAAAATAAGTAGGTTGCTTGCTTGCTTGTTAGTCAGTATTATTGGCAAGAGATGATCAAGCAGTGTGGAGATTGATTGCTTTGGTTTGCTTCCTCCTTAGTCCCTAAGCCTGCTCCCAAGACATACCCAATGGGCCGTTGCATCACAGCCTTAACCCACTCTGCCAATCAGCGTATGTGCAGTCGTTGATGGTATACAGATTTTTGGGTAGGGTTTTTTTCATCTACAGGGAGATTTGGGCATTTTAACTTTTAGGGAAGTTTGTGTAAATCTGCTAAGCACAGAAACGACCACACTAAAGTGCAGTCCTTACTGTGCTTTGGTGGATTTGTGCAAATCCACCCAAAGCATTTTTTTTAAAGTTTGCACAAGTATCTCTGAAGTTGAAATTACATTTGCACAGATTTACTTGAAGGGGAAAATGATGTCACTGTCTGTTAGGAGAGTAAATGGAAGAGTAAATTGATTAGTGTCATTTCAAGTTTTAATAGAGAGGGTATAATTATGCTAATGAGATTTCAAGGACCAACCAGCTGGGGTAGGGTGGTGGCTGCTTTTATAAGGTAGCTCAATTTCTGCTTTTAACAATCACACTGAAGTGACTCTGTCAGGTTTGGATGTCACAACAAACTGCCCTAAGCAGCGTTATTACAAGCCATAGGTTCTCAGGGTGGCTTGCTTGTGAAAAATAACCCACATTAGCAAAGCTTCACTAGATTTGAGTGCCACCCTAAGCCATCCTGCAACCACACATGGTGACAACCCAGGATTGCCTAGAGCAGTGGTTCCCATCTGTTTTGGCACCAGGGAGTGTTTTGTGGAAGACAATTTTTCCATGAACTGGGGGTGGGGGTGGTTTTAGGATGATTCAAGTGCATTACAGTGGTACCTCATACTTAATTAGTTTCAGGAAGCCATTTGAACTCTGAATCATTTGAAGTCTGAAGCATTGTTCCCCATTAGAAATAATGGAAAGTGAATTAATCCATTCCCAGACCCTGAACAGTACCCATCTCAATAAACTTAAACAGTAAATATGCATAATTTAAGGTAAAGTAACACAAATGCCAAATTTATTTGTTGAAACTTGAAAACAATTAATAAAATATGTAAATAGGTACAGTACTGTGTTATAAAATGAAAATTGCATTTATTGTCCAAATTTTTTAGTGAGGAGTGACGAAGTAGAAAAGGATTGAGAAGGCAGTGAGAAGAATTGGTAAGGCAGGCAGTTAAAAGGCACTCAGAACAATCAAAAAGGGCACTCACCTAAAAATCACTGAGAACAATTGAAAAGGCACACAGTGAAAGAGCACAGACACAACAAGAAATGAGAGACAACTTGGGTGCACAACTGATAACGTTTATGCAGCGACCACATTTTTTTCTGTGCTTGCGGTTCGAACTTAGAAATGTCGCTCAAACTTTGAAGAGATTTTAAATTCACTCTAACATTTGAACTCTGGATCTCACCTGCTGCTCACCTGTTAGGAACTGGGCTCCTCACCTGTTAGGAACTGTGCAGCCCAGTTCCTAACAGGTACTGGTCTGCAGCCCAGGGGTTGGGGACCCCTGGCCTAGAGTGATATTGTGAACCAGATTTCTCTGGCTTATGTAATCTTTTGAGTTTTTTTCTGTATAGGTAATTTGCTTTAATACTGTCCCAGTGCTGTTAATCTTGTATTTTCTTTTATTAAGACATTTTTTAAAGTATTGGGAAGAGTAAAGCAAATTCACAACGATGTCAAGATTCTTCTGCGCACAAATCAGCAGAGAACAGGGTGAGTTCACACTGAACACTCTAAACACTTCCCTGATACACTTAACATGAAGTTGGCTATCAGTATGTTGGAATTTATACTAAAGAAACCTCATACATGCTTTTTTAAAAGTACATAAAACATTTTTGTTAAAGATTCTAAATGTTTTAAATCTGCAGCCTAGAAATTATGGAACAGATGGCTTTGCTCCAAGAGACTTCCTATGAGCAGCTTTATCGATGGGCTCAAGGTACCTTATAAGCAGTTTTTACTTATAGGCATAAGCAGTTATTCTGTTCTTAATTTGTAATCTTAAGAATGATCTTCAGAGGGCTACCTTGGTTCAACTTGACTCCATAACTATTACGACATAGGAGAAAGTTTGCTGTCTGCCAAGACCCTTCTAGAAAGAACAGTTCTGTCTCTGTCTCCCGTCTAAAATAGGAAGAGATCCGAACCCTCTTCTGAGGCATCAGAAGGTCATTTTCTAGGTCTAGTGGTCTACTTGAATCAATACTGGGAATGTAGGGGGAGTTCTGACCGTGCAGCAAAAAGGTGGAACTTTTGATCATTTAATGCAAGGGTATGCAACCTTTCTGGCCCAAGGGCCACATCCCTTGAATTGAGTTGAGCTGGTATATTCCAAGAAAGAACTTTTCCAGCCTTGTCTTTGCCTGTTTTATGCAGCCATTGTGTTTTCCACAGCTACACTGCTGTGCCATTGTTTCCCACAGTCATCATACAAGGCAGATCCATGCTCCTAAATACACAGTGGGCATCCTAAATATGCAGTGGCAGAAATCCAAGTCCAGTTGAATCCTGACAATAGCTTATAAAAATGAGGATTATCATACTGTAAAGTCTTCCTTAGGAATTGAATACAGTAAAGTGAAAAGAGGGGACAGAAAAATGTTTAAGCCTGCAGGAATCTTGCTATTGGCATGATTCCAAATGCTTTTTTGCTCTTTTATAGGTGAATGCAGGGCTTTAACTCAAGAATCCTGTGACATTTCTCCAGTTCTAGCTCAAGCGATGGAAGCTTTGCAAGACAGGCCTGTTCTGTATAAGTATGTTTCATATTTTAGTTACCATATATAGCATTGATTTGGACCATGAAACCATACAGCAGTGCTTCATCTGCCTGACCAAAAGCTACATGAAAAAGTTAGGAATTCGTTGTGAACTTAATTTTACTTCAGAAGACACAGAAGGTCCATCACTTCCCTTCTGACTCCCCTCTTTCTGCCTATGTTAAGAATAACAGGTTGTTACTTGAGTGTTAGGAACGACTTTCTTTTTGTTATCCTCTGCTGATTAATTAGTTTTTGATATGTTGTGAGAAGAATGTAGACCATGCTCAATATCAACCACAAGGTGGCAATATTGAACTTCCCACTGAATGCCACACTTACTGAATCAACATTCTGTCTTTTTAAATGTTTTTACAGGCCTCACTGTAAAAGTATATTTGAACTTTTGTGGCTTCTTAGCATGGTAATCAGCTGCGAAACTATTCAGGAGGACTGAATCTGTGGAGATAAAACCCCAACAGATTTAGCCTTCCTCTCATGTTTCCCACCTGATTACAGGCCTCCAGCAAAAAAATCTGTGTAATCTTCTCACCCTTCACACAGGAAAATGCATTTACTAATGCAAATAGTTAAAACTTGATCCAGTGCATCTCTTGAGTAACTTACACATCTTCAACATATAAATTACCTTCACTGTGAGTTGTTGCTCTCTTCCCTTAAAACATGTACATGGTGTGAATGCCAGTATCTTCTAGAACGTGTCATGTCCGATATGGTGCTGAATCATAATGTGAAATTCTTTGCTGGGAGGCTGGGGCATGAAACTGAGCTGTTTCACATAATTACTTGGTCACTAAAAATATTGGGGAGGGTGTGGTAAATTTCCATGAAGCAAAGTGTTCTGATTATTGTGGTGCCAATATAGAATATGTGCATTTTAGCAGGTGCCTATTAATTTCTTACATAGATACACCCTGGACGAGTTTGGAACAGCCAGAAGAAGTGCTGTGGTCCGAGGCTTCATTGATGCTCTTACAAGAGGAGGTCCAGGTGGAACTCCCCGGCCAATTGAAATGCATTCCCATGATCCTTTGCGGTATGTGAAATACACTGTGTAGTGTTTTTATTGCTAGAATAATCCATTCTTAATGCAGCAGTATCTTTGGGTTTTGGTTTTAGATATGTAGGAGACATGTTGGCATGGCTGCATCAAGCAACTGCTTCTGAAAAAGAGCATCTGGAAGCCCTGTTAAAACATATAACTGCTGAAGGTATTACACAGTTTTGAGAAATATGAATTTAGAATCCTGAGCAAAAGAATTATGCAGTGAGAAACAATTCCTAGTGTATTCTACCAAATATTTTCTTCTCTGTGCAATCCAAGTATATGTGGGGGTTAGGGAGGTTGCAAATTATTTTGAGCCCAAAGTGCAGAGAATCTGCTTTTCCAAACATTATAGTCTATAAACAATACAGAAAGTAAAAAACCTGTGACAGTCATTGAATGCATTTGCTTTCAGGAGTAGAAGAAAATATGCAAGAAGTAGTTGGACACATCACAGAAGGCGTTTGCCGGCCTCTGAAGGTGGAGTATTTTGATTTATGTGAGCCTTTAGTGCAATAGTTCATTTAATGTTATATTATCCCTGAATACCTATGAACAAAGAGTGAAAAGGCAGTTTAGAGAGTATTGCATGTACATAATTTGTCTATGTAGGGCATTTACTACATATTAATAATAACATAATTATGTTTGTTATTAAATAACCTAAATAATTTTGCTTCAAAATCATTTGAAGCAAAGCTGTACTGCAAAGATGTAGTACTTAGAACATTTGGCTTCTCAGTATTCTGGTCCCAGAAAATCATGAAATCTAATACTGCTTTATTTTATTAAAACTGATTTGTACATAGATATTTGGATTTTTGGATATTTTTTTAAATGCTGCAGAACTATTTATGTGTTTTCCTGTTTTTTCAGGTTAGAATTGAACAGGTGATAGTAGCTGAACCAGGAGCAGTCCTGCTGTATAAAATTTCTAATCTTCTCAAATTCTACCACCATACCATCAGGTAAAAACAAAACAATTAAAAAATGATTTAACTTGCTTTGTGTTTGGATTACAGTTTGAAGTTGTGCTTGGGGGAAGGAGGGAATAATAAAGCCCTTCCCTGAAATACAGTTTTTAGTAAGAGTAAACATACAAAAATACAAAAGATGATCTATATGTTTCTGCTGCACTGTAGCTATATAAGCCCAAATGGTGGGAAAGTATATTAAAATATGGCCACAATATGGGCCACAGTTGGGTTAGGCAAGCAACAGCTAGTCTCAGCTTCCTCCTCTTGACTCCTGCTGGTTTGCTACACCATTCCAGCTCCCTCTTCTTAATATTTTCCAGCCACACTCTCATAGAAACAGAATAGATCAACTCTGAGCAGCTACAGATAGATTTTAAACAGCATACGCAACAGTACTGGCCTTTTTGAAACCCCACAGGATTGCCTCTGTGGAGCAGAGGAGTGTACTCACAGCACCTTCCCCATTCCATAGGGAGAGTGGCTTTGTCAGCCTCTCTGTTCTGTCCTCTAAGTTTCCAGTCCTGGGAAGCCCTGGGCCCTCTGTGCACCTGAAGCTTTCTTGATGCTTTTCATCCCTTTTTTTCCAAGCAAGAAAGTGTCCAGCCTCACCTTGGCTTGGGTGTGAGAAATGGTGTGCTTTGTATAGGTCTAATGTCACAGCAGCTAAAGGCTTACCTAATAAGGGATTGGCAGCATCTTCACATCTCCGCCCCTCCCAAAAAGAGGACCTTTGAAAGGTTTGCCTCTGGGTTTCAGTTCGCACATTCACTAGGCGCTATAAAGTAGGAAAGTGCTGTAGAGTGCTTGACCATGAGTGTTCAGGCTTCTCTTGGTGCTTAATTATAGCCCACCTAGTGGGGAAATCTCCTGGGGATGTACTGCACTTAATGGGTGGAAAAGAACTTTTGTTGCTTACCCTACTTGGGGGATGGGGAGGGACTGCTGGTTAACATCGCTTCCATAGCCCTTTCCCCAACTTTCAGCAATTGCTGAGCCTCATGACAGAATTTCCTGCCTTACCTGTAGGGGACATAGAAATGCATCAAGTGAGAAAGAGAATGTCTCCGTTTATTTATCAACTTAAGACCTTAACTTAGTATGTCTTCCTGGGGTATAATTAAAAATCTCTTGCTTGCTTCTGATTCACACACTTGTTTTCACTTTTCAGTAATATTGTAGGAAACAGTGGAGCCATGCTGCTAACTACAATCGAAGAAATGCATCTCTTGAGCAAAAAGATATTCTTCAACAGTTTGAGCCTTCATGCAAGTAAACTGATGGATAAGGTCTGTCTCAAGGATCACTTGTTCCCTGCATTCCTTTCTCTGTAGAGTAGGTAGCACACGCATAGGCGAGTGCCTATGGGACTCTAGGGACACAGCCTGGATCACCCTGTTGCATGTTTTAAGCAGTTCTATGTAGTTCTGTGCAGAGATTTGGAAGTCTAGGCCTGTGCAGCATTTGAAAGTGACCTCCCTTCTTTTGCATTGCATATTTATATTCGTGGCTTCTTCAGATTCCGTGGCCTGTTAACAACACCCTTCAGCCACCAAGCCATGGCTGCACCGCCCCTTCTCCAACTGCCCATGTTCTCCAAATTGGTCCACAGTGGTTGGTGCTTTAAGGCTTTGGTTCCTGGTGGAGTAAAATGGCAGGCACTGAGGGACAAAGACCCTGGCACATACTTTGTGGTAGGGAGGAACTACCTAAAATGTGCACTTGTAAATGGGGTTTAATATTTTTGAACATGTATTGCAGGCAGGCCTTTGTGATGGAGCACTAAAGAGAAAGAGCTGCTAATTATTTCTCTCATTGCCATTCCTCTTCCACAGATTCCTTTGAGCTCAATTATTCTTTGGCATAATCGGTCACTGCTAGTTAGGGAAGCATTTAGATCATAGTTATTATCACAATTGCTGTTCAGCAGCAGCAGCAGCCGTGAGAAGGCAACAAGGTCTTTACAGTAGCGGTATGGAGTGTAGGGGGAAATACTCAAGGCTCCCTGCAGCCGTAGAGGAGATTTCATAGTTTTCTGTGAGAGACAGAGCAGTGGATTCTTAGTACATTTCCTGTCCTCCAGCTTTTTGGTTCTGAGAGAGAAGGAAATTGGGACAGCATAATGGGTCCCTTGCTACTAGTCCTCAATCCCCCACCTCCCCTGCCCATGTCCCATAAACACCCGTGGTTTCTGTTCGGTAGTCACATTGCTGTTATTTCTTTGAGCAAAAGAATACCTGTAGTTATTAGTATATAAAAATATATAAGAGACTTCTCATGCCTACAAGTCTACAGAGAAATCACAGCCAATTTAAAAATAGCTTAAGTTTGTATTGTTGTTGTATGACTTCCAATTGACCCAAGGCTATTATCACATTAAATCATGGATCCAAAGTGGTTCTTCAGCCCAAGTGCATGATACCAACTTCTTTGATGGGCCATTGAAAATAGTAGAGCAGTTCTTGTTTGCATTGTGGGCAGGTAACTGCAGAATTCCTTCTCCTAGCATCTGAAAATTGGGATTGGGGATGGCTGCCCTACATGTCAGAATGACCCTTCCCTCTCCTGGAAAAGGTAGAACTAACAATGCACAATGCAGAGATAAAGGCAATGGCAGGCAGAGAAGGACCAGCACAGCTTTTGAGCACTCAAGGGTTTTAATTGGTATGCAGCCTGCTAGCTTAGAATGGGCAGTGTAATTTCATATTATTTGGTCTTGTTTGTAGTGCAGGTATATGGGTTTTTGAGAACTATGCCCTTCTCATGTGTTCCTGCATTAACAATATGTGTGTAATGTTTAGGGAGTTTCTAAACTTTTGGATTAAACAGGATTGATTATTTTTGTTTTTTTATAGGTGGAATTGCCACCTGCGGATCTTGGTCCAAGCTCTGCACTAAATCAGACACTGGCTTTGTTGCGTGAGGTTCTCACATCCCATGACTCTTGTGTAATTCCTCTGGATACCCGACAAGCTGACTTTGTGCAGGTAACTGAATCATAGTTGTGCAAGCATTGTGGTGCTAAACCAGAGCAGCTTGACAGGAGAAAGGGGCAATGAGGAGGCCAGGCACATGGTAGATCTTTAGATGTCTGGGACTTAACTTTCTGGAAGACCCTGCTACCATGGCCCAGGGACAGGAATCCAAACTAAAGTCCAGAATATCTGGAGATCTACCTTCTGTTCCCTACTCTGGAGATCATGATAACAAATTTCTGATACTTTCCAAACAAAGGTCATGGTTTACTGCTGTCTAAGTGGCAGCAGTAAACCGGGTTTGCCGAGATGCACCAAATTTTAATATTTTTAGTGTATAATTTTTGTATGATTTTGTTTGTTTTTGTTGTGAGCTGCCCCGAGGCTTTGTTGCGGTGGGGGCGGCATAGAAATGTTTTAAATAAATAAATAATAGAAAGCCTGCCAATTCCAGTTCTTGACAGCCAGTGTGGTATCTTGGTTAGGGTGCTGGCCTGGGACTTGGGAGATCCAGGTTCTGGTCCCTAGTCAGCCATGAAGCTCAGTGGATGGCTTTCTGAGCTTGTTTCACAGTCTGAGAATCACAGACTTTCAGCCTCAACTAACTCACAAAGGAGCTGTCGTAAGGATAAAATGGAGAGGAAGAAAGCCTTGTAAGGCATCTTGGGTTGCTTGCTAGATGAAGAAAGGCAGAGTATGAATGTAAAACAACAATAATAATACTCACACCGTTTCTTAGACTTCATCTAAGCATCATTTTGTACATTCCATAACCATGACTCTTGTAGCCTCTGATCATCTTATTAAACATATAAAACCTTGGAAATAAGGCTTTGGGAGGAGCACAGTGAGCCTATCTAGAGCTTGGATAGCTAGTACTCCAGGGGCCTTCTTCATCCTGGTGCCGTCTAGATGGATTGGGCTATAACAACATGGTCAAGGTTGCCACATCTTGTATTCCACCACATTTGAAGGAGCCCCAGGTTGGGGAAGGTATCTCTTGTTGAGCTTTGCCTTGGGAACCTCTAAGAAAGAAGATTCCAAGCCTATTTTACAGCCATGCTGGGTTGGTGGGAAACTGTTTCAAACCTTTAAGTTAAATCTACACCCTTGTAATCCAAACATGCTTTTTTCTCAAAGAAGTTTTCAACACCACAATCAGCATCAGCAGCTGCCCACAGCGTAGGTCCTGCGTTGTCACTTCTGCTTTGGGCTGGCCATGCCTGCGCAGGTTTCTTATGCAACAGCCTTTTAACAAATTTGCAAACAAGCATCACCAGCTAAATGTGGAATAGGTTGCATAAGCAGGTGGCTAGCAGTGCCTCTTTGTGACATCTGAATTTGCTCCCAGAGGCGAGCACAGTTTTTCCCCTTTCAGCATTCAGCCTCTGTGTTGAGAGATTAATAGGATGGAAAATACACAAGAATTGCCATCAGATGCAGTATTTATTTTGCGTGTGCTTCCCCCACCCCTTTTCTCTTTAGGTGATATCTTGTGTGCTGGATCCACTGCTGCAGATGTGCACTGTGTCTGCGAGTAACTTAGGCACTGCTGACATGGCAACCTTCATGGTGAATTCGCTTCATATGATGAAGACTACGCTAGCTCTCTTTGAATTTACAGATAAACGACTAGAAATGTTACAGTTCCAGGTAAATGTCCAAAGTCAACGTCCCGATGTTGTCTTTGTATTAAACATTAACAGGGAATAAATATAATACAATCCTCTTAGATGTGTGTATCCTCACAGCTTTTATATGTAAAGTAAACATGCAGATGCATACAACCACAAAAATGTCATTAATGGGAGTTAAGATAAAAGAACTATGCAGTGAAGCAGGGAAATGTAAAACCCAGTCATAACTGCAGCATGAGCTATTTTTAAAAGAATGACAACACATGCAAACTGCTGGCATTATCCAGTGTTTGATTTACTGGATCCAGGATCTTTATTTTATATGGCCCCTCTCACTGTTAGTGAAGTTTGCTTTTCCTGGGTTTTCCTAAGAGTTCTGCTATGCCAGAGTCTCATGGCCTCAGGACCATGGCGGATATGAATAGTCAGTTAGGAGGCATTGTGGGATATTTGCAGTGCTGACAAGTGATGGCTGAGTCACAGAGGCACCTTATGCTGCATTTGTTTAGGCATGTCATAAGCGGAGCTGGCTGGAGCCAGGGATCAGACTAGATGGCCCGGGAGGACCCTTCTGACTCACTCTGTTTCTATGTCTTTGATGAATCCATATTTCCAGTGACTTACTATGCCAAGACATGAATGAACCTTGTGCTTCTCTCCCTTCAGGAAGTCTCTAGCCATAATTTCCCAGTTTGAGGGAAATAGTGTTTGGGTTAATTAGGGACTTCCTTGGTTGGATTGCTGTGCATTTCAAGAGAAGAAGCAGAGGGGCTGCTGCTCAGGAAAAAGGCTGCTTCGTGTCTTGTATTGATAAGCTGAGAAATGATTGTTTTCATGCTGCTGTATTGCGAAGGCAAGTGGATGCAGTAGATCGGTCTCACTGCAAGATGCAAATACCGATCTTATCCCCAATCTTTTTGGAGACAAAATGTTCAGTTCCAGAATCTGAATGAGAGTACAGGATGGGCATATATGCTTGGGTGGGGAGTAAGAAAGATGTGAGTAGTGACCCTACTGCTCCTTAGATTTCTCTTTTTTGTGGTTTGTTCTGAAATATTAAGAAATGCAGTTGTCTGTGCAAAGGCAAGTCAATTGTATTAGGGGAAGTTAGAGGACTTTCTTGACTGAGGAAGGCCTGCTATGTAAATAATTTAGAAATTTGTCACCTGGTATATTTTCATTAATAGTGCACTACATCAGCTTTTGTGTTAATTCAGTTTAACCATAGTTTATGTCACAACCTTAAGCAATTTCACTATGTTGTGAGAAAATGCTTTATTTGGAAGATTTATTCATTTTACTGGAGCAAGTTAAATGCACAAAATGCATTGCCAGGTAGATACTTTTTATTTTTAATGGTATTAGATTATTAAAACATAGTAAGCCCGAATCCTTTAGCATACCACAACTTGTAAAGGACCAGCATGCTTTTGGAAGAACCTTTTTGACCAGGCAGTGAGATTTGGTAGCACTTGCTGTTAGAACATGCGTAAATTGCTTTTGTGCTAATTTTCTAACACTCCTTGTCTTTCATGACCTGGCTATCACTTTGAATAAAATGCCAATCAGTAAAATGGCATTTTACTGTCTTCTTTTGCCTTCTAGATTGAAGCACATTTAGACACCCTGATAAATGAACAAGCTTCCTATGTGTTAACTAGAGTGGGCCTAAGTAGCATATATAATATTGTACAGCAGCACAGGCCAGAGCAGGTAAGCATTAATTTGGGGGACTATAAAGACCACCCACTTTGTACTAAACTGGGCTTAGGTAATACTTATAGTGTAATTATGTCCTTAAATAAATGTAGAAGAATTGCTTGATTTTTCAATTTTATCATCTGAGTGTGCCAAAACAAGCCAAGATTCATAAGCCAACCCTGGTTTCAAGCTGGTTTAAAATCCCAGCTTATTTGGGGCACTTAACTGTATTCTCTGATTCAGAGGTAACATGAAGCTATCCCTTTCTGATTTGTTTACCCACTCATGCAAAGTGGAAGTAATTTGATTGCATGCATGAGCATGCGCTCATTTACACTGTGTTTTCGGCATATAGTGATCTGCAGATGAAGCCAATGTGTAAATATGAAATGGGATTAAAAAGACAATCCTGACTTGGTTGCAGCAGTATTGCTACTTGAGGATTCTGAACTATGTGACCTTCACATATGCAGTGCCACCTTAAAAATACTCGAAGTACTTCAGCTGAATATTTTTGCTGATTACAACTTGGTTTATCACATGGTTGTTTCCTTTCTATTTGCTTTGTGGCTTTTTATTTTGGTTTTTCTTTTTGTCTTCATGTTTGTGAACATCAGCAGTAGCTTGCAGCATCCTTTACTCTTTATAGATAAGATAATGGCAGGGAGGAATTATTTCATGTATTTCTTAACATATCAAACTTATTCTTGATAAAGAAGGCTGCTTTATAGTCATGAATGTGTAAATAAAAAAAAAAAAAAACCGGCACAGATGTTTTGTACTATGGTTAGCAAAACTCAACAACTCTTCATGCCATAGATAATACCAATACAAAGTTCTCTTTTTAGAGCATTTTCAATCTTTGCATTTCTGTCTCTGCAGTTTTGCTCCTGTGGCATGCTTCTTACCTCTGTCCCTTCATAGCTTCCTGTAGTGTCTCTGTGTCTTTTTCTTCTCTCCCATCCCACAGGAAACAAGACCCAGACTTTATATTTTCTTGTCATGAGACCATTCCTCTGTATAATCTAGAGACCCACAGAAATGTTGTGTGTGAGACACAGCTCAACTACATATGAATTTTCCTCTACCCTTCTGAACCCTTTTCTTTTTCCATGCCCATGGTATATTTTCCATGGATGTTTCCATGAATGTCCCAGGCATAGTACAGCTTTAGAGTATACTATTTGCTACGATATTTTTGTTATTTATTTACAGGATCTGTATGCCACTTCATGTCTAAACAGACATGCATTCTTGTTATATATTCACCATGAATTTCATGTATTTACTTAACTTAACTTAGCTTTGCTGTATTTTTAGGGTCCCTTGGCAAATGTACCTGGTATGGATTCTGTGACATTAAAAGCGGCAATGGTAAGATATTAAAATTATATGTGTAGCTGTGTTATGCTCGATTATAGTTATTATCATCATTACAATTAATATAGCACCATCAGTTTGCTTGGTGCATTACAGAATATAATGCAGCATGTCCTGCAGTGAGACATTGCACTTAAAATTTGAGACAGGAAGAATGTCAGAGTAAGGGAAAGGAAGTGGAGCCAGAGATATCCAATATGGTATTCCCCCTCCCCTTCATTTATATTTGTTTAGGCTTAGTAGGGCATGGGAAGAAGGGCTGTTTATAGTATTTTAGTTCCATGGTATTTTAAGGAATGTTAGAATTTAATTACGGTGTAGTGATTCTTACCTCTCTTCTGGGTGATCCACTGCATAGTAATAAAAGAGATAAAACTACCCCTAGAGTGTTAAGTGTGATATCGCACCCATTGCAGATAGCCCAAAATTGATGTGCTTCATTTATTTTTTCCAGGAAATTCTTGGCAGAGAAATTTATTTTGACTAGTGACTAGTATATTTGGTGTTATCACCGAAGTCATAAGAGATGCTCCTTAAATTCCATTTAGGAGCAACAGTTCAACTGTGTCACTATGAACTATGCCCAGTGTTGTTTCTAATAATTGACTTAGGATATAAATCAACGTGCCACTAAATAGACAATAGATTTGCACATATAGAAATTCAGGTTTAGGAACAGGAATAAGCTTTCCCTGCAGGGGCTTAGAACCATTAGCATGGCTGATAATAAAGAGTGCCAGTGTGATATAGTGCTTAAGAGTGTGGGGCTAGGACACAGGCAATCCGGGAACGAGTCCCCACTTAGCCATTGGAGCTCCCTGGGTGACTTTGGGCCAGTCACACACCCTCAGCCCAACCTACCTCACAGGGTTGTTGTAGGGATGAGAGTGAGAGCAGCAGGAGGAGAATTATGTAAGCTGCCTTGAGTTCCTTAAAAGGATAAAAAGATGAGATATAAATAAATAAATATAATGCTTCGTAGAGGAAAGCACAGGCTGGGGCCACTTGACAGACTGGGTAAGGAGAGTGTAGGCTGCACCAATGTCCTTCCCACCAAGCTCTGGATCTCACTTCCTCATTGGCCTTCCTAGGCACTGAGAATCGCTCACTATCACTATTCAGTACCATCACTGGGCTAGGAAGAAACATTTTTGTTTGCCTCGGCTGCTTTCTGGCGATAAGTGCTTGGGGGGCAGCAACTGACTTCCTTTTCTAAGTCCTGCCCCAATCCAGTTCTCCAGGAATGTTCAAACACATTCTGGAGAGCATGTGGTTCAAGTCAATGCCTTTTCTTTCCCCCTTATTTTTCCTGAGCTGGCATTATTACAGATATTACCAGCTGACTCTCATGTGTAGGAGCAAAGCTGCTCATTAGAGGACACTTGTGTGCAGTTCATTGGTTGACGTAAACACACAGGCTAACATCTGTTCTGCTTCATTTAGGTCCAGTTTGATCGTTATTTGTCTGCTCCTGATGGTCTGTTAATGCCACAAATAAACTTTCTTCTAAGCACTGCTGTCAAGTAAGCATCCAGGTGTTGGCTGGCTGGCTGGCTGGCTGGCTGGCTGGCTGGCTGGCTGGCTGGCTCTGTCTGTCTGTCTGTCTGTCTGTCTGTCTTTCTTTCTTTCTTTCTTTCTTTCTTTCTTTCTTTCTTTCTTTCTTTCTTTCTTTCTTTCGCCATGGGTGATGATCTATACCCGAATTCCTAGTTCTCCTCTCTGTCTCTGTCTGATCTAGTATTCAGCAAAGCACATTCATAGACCTAAATGTGGGAAGTTCCAAGAGTTTTGACCAAAGTCAGTGTGTCTGTTCTTTCAGACCTGAGACAATTGTGCCCAAGATTGGCAATGCAGCTTTCTACAGCTCTTTCTGAACCACAGTGGAGGCAGCAAGAAGGACTTTCACTTTAAGACTGCTTGGCCCAAAACATTCCTTTCCCTCTAAGTGCTCTTCAAGTAACCTTTTTGAGTAAGATGATTGACCTCCCTTTTAAGTTGTTCCAGAATCCAGCCCACTTCCTTCAGTGACTCGATTGTTTGGGTGGCAGTGCTCTCTGACCACACTGGGCCTGTGCCCTTCCCTCCTTGGCTGGCACCTAGGGTGGCAGGGAGGGAATGATCTCATTGTTCCAATTCCTTGGTGAAAGGTTGCAGCCTTGTTTCTGCCATTATAATTAAATCATGCAGAGCCATGAAAATCCTTCAGGCAAGGGCAGCCTTGTGGCGAATTCAGTGGCAATGGGGAGGCGGTTTTTGGCTGCTGAAATATGTACACGGAGGGAAGGGATTTGGAGGACACACAGGGGCATTTCTGCATTTTCCTGATCCCCCCACAATCCGTTCCTTCCCCAACTCTCTCCCCTGCCATGGTCATCCCAAGTGTCATGAGAGGAGCCCACAAGCCAAAGTGCAGCGGGGGGTGGGCAGCAGGGTATTATTTGAACCTACTGTTGATCGCCATCAATTCTGCATTTACATGACCATTTTTGATGTGTATTTTTAGACAGCAGATAATAAAACAGTCCACCGAACTAGTCTGCAGAGCCTACAGTGAAGTATATTCTGCTGTGATGAATTCGGGCAATGCATATAAAGATCCTGAAACAATACTGCACAGATCTCCTCATCAAGTTCAGGCACTTCTCTCTTAATCTTACAAATTCCTTTTGTTATTTCCACTGTTTCAGGCTGTAAATTGTGCTCATGCAAGTTCAAGATAAGCTGTGACAATGTAGTTTTTATCTTGCTGGCGGTCTCGTAATCAGTGCACTTACAGACTATGAGGGTTCACAAAGTTAGTTGGCTGGAATGTCATTGTCTGTCATGGTATTTAAGCAGCCTTATCATAACCTTATTGGGAGAGGAAAATAAAAGCAATCTTTTATTTTAAATTATTTTTACACTATACTCTAAACCCGGAAAAGCCTTGTGAGACTATCTGGTTTTCTTTGAGTGAGAAAAATTGCAGTAATTTATGATGGTGATGATACTCGTAAATGATGTACAAAACCACCTGCTTGCCAGGGACCTTGGCCAGTATTGGCATCATCCTGTTACTCTGGCCCTGACAGTTTGGAGGAGCTGCAACCCTTGTGGATAAAAGTCGACTTTGGTTTGGTCAAAGGCCAGTGCTTGGATGTAGCTTTTCCTGCTATTGGTACTCAGAGCAAAAATAAAAATCTAAAGCTTTTGAAAATCTAATTGAAGTAATTCATGAAATGCTAACTTAAATATTGACTCTGCAAGCAAAAAGCTAGAAGTGTGTAGGGAGGAAGTTCTTTTAGAATGAATGACCATAATCTTCTGTAAATGCTACAGATTTTAATTAAAATGTCTCAAACATTAAAAGATAAAATACAGGCTGGCTCTGAGACAAGACAATGAGTTACCATGGAAAAGGATTTGCATACAGGAATAAAATATTTTATGCCAGAAAGGATTCATGAGAAGCTACTGATGCAGGAGTCTGTTTCTTCGAACTGCAGGCTCCCCTGTAACATGTTCTTTGAGTGGGCCATTTTCAGCATTTCGTTCTTAAAATGTTTTGGAATTCAGCCTGTTGTAAAATCAGTTACAATGTTTTCAAAAGGCTACATTTTCATACATAGCCTATGTACATAATTGTGCATAGAGATTTGCTACAACCTGCCTACATGTATGTATTTCTTCCCTTCCTCCACTTTTTCCCAGTAAAGAGTGGGTTCAAATCCCAGTTGGAACATGTAGCACTCAGACAAGTCATTGTCTGCCATAGTCCTCCCTCTGTAGAAACAAAACCATAAGGACCCTTTGCTGTGACCTACCAAAAACCTTAGGAATGGGCCTGAGCATGAATCAAAATTATACAAAGATGCCATGACAGCACTTACAAGGGGCAAACAAGACTAAGTACTGGTATCCAGCTAGATCCTTTGTGCACTGCGATCGATGCTTTTCTTGGCAGTGTCCCTCAATGTTTGTGGTCATGTTAGACTGCAAAAGAATGCCTGGCTGACTCCTCACTGGTTATATCCAACAGGAGGAAGTTATGAACATGCTATTTATAGAGTCTGAACAAATAGGCGCAAAGTTTAATCAGCCAAAGACAACACGTGTTTTGATTTTTCAAAAGTAATATTTGCTGATTTACAATAAGTTGGATCCTAGCTTGCCCTTCTGTGAACAGAAGAACCTTTGATCCAGTGGAGGTTTCAGCCAACAAAAAGAGGAGAAGCAATTTCCTTATTATTATTATTATTATTATTATTATTATTAATACTAATACTAATCTCATTTTATACTGCCTAATAGCTGTAGCTCTCCTGGCAGTTTACATAAAACTCATATGCTCATAAAAACAATGCATAAAACACTGTTATCTTTTTCCAAGGTACAACATTTTTTAAACAACATATAGTGAACAGAAGAGCAGTAAACTGCCTGGGATGGGTAATTTCAAGCTCTTAAATATCCATGTATATTTTTAAAGGCTTCTGCATGAAAGGCCGTCTTCACCCGAAAAGATGGCAAGGCTTGTACCAGACAGGCCTCAGTGTGGAGGTCCTTCCATAGTTGGGCTGCCACAGAGAAAGTCTTTCCCCCCCTTGTTGCTACCCTCTGAGCCTCTTTCACAGTTGGTGCTCAGAAGAAGGTCTGGGATATTGAGTGTTGTGTCCAGGTAGATCATGGTGGGAAGAGGCACTCTGTCTAGCATTGTGGTCCCAAACCTCGTAAGGCTTTATAAATTAAAAACTAGCACCTTGAATCGGGCTTGGGAGCATATAGGCAGCCAGTGCCAGCTGGCCAGAACTGCTCTTACACGTTCAGACCTATGGGCCCCCATTATTAGTCAGGCTGCTGCACATTGCACAAGCTTCAACTTTTGAACAGTCTTCAGGGGCAACCCCATATGCAGTGCATTGCAGTTATCCAGTTGGGAGGTTACAAGATCATAGATTAATGAAACAAAAAGGAAACCTGCCCAAGCTATGAACCTGCTCCTTTAAGGGGAGTGCAACCCTATCCAGAACAGACTGAATGCCGCCTTCTGGTCAGAGGAAACACCCTATGTACTGGCATCATCAAAAGACCATCTGGAAATGGAGTATACTGTGGGATGTAAAGGACCTCTCAATGCCATTTTGTTCCTGGCTGTTGTGTTGAAGACCCTGCTCTGCTGCACACCAGCTTTATCACTGGGGAGGGCATTGGCTTTGGAACGAGGAAAAACAGAAATGTGTCCCAAGCAAGTAAAACCGCTAGCAACTCTCCATATCTCTCCCCCTTTATTTAGCTCATTAGACGTGATGTGAACAAAACAAACTTCCCCATTATTGCCAAATATTCTTTTATTATTTTTAATTATGAATTTTGTTGATTTGCATAGTTAATACAGTCACTTGGCAGGGAATGTGCAGTGTTTAAAGAATGTTTAGGCCAAGTCATTCAGATTTTCATAGGTAATGTTCATCTTTTTTCCCCCAATTGCTAGTTCTACTTGCTTCCTCCCACCTTTTGCCATAGGAAAAAAAATATGCAAATACCTCATGTGTGTCTTAATATCTTGTTCCTTTTCCGTAATTTTAATAAATATTAAAAAACTGAATCCAGATTATGATGATATGTAGAGGTCAAGTACTGGGAGAGAACATTTTTATCTGGCTTAACTTTCTTACAATAAAATGTTTTTGTAAGCTGCCTTCTGAACATTTGTGTTGCAAGGTTGTCTAATAATATTGTGGGTGTAAAATCTAGAAGTAAAGGTATTTTCTTTGTTGCACCATAGCAGCTGATGGAGGAAGAAAGATCTGATCCATACACAATCCCTATATATGTTTGTAAGCCTGATTGAATTCCATGGGGTTTATTCCCAGGTGTTTACTTGTCAATAACTCCCACAAAATTCAGGGTGCTTCTATTTGTGCAGTCACATTGCCTCATTTATGGAATTTTACTAGGATCCACACAAGTTCTTCCACTTGTAACTCTCCTGTGTTTTGTAACTCACCATGTCTTTCATCTTCTTTCTTACCAAGAAAATAAATTCATTAAGGAGGAAAAAAACCAATAGCTGCACAGATCCTGTAGGGTGTTAGTGCTTTGGTGCTTTCATTTGGAAGGCTCCTCGGGATTATATCTCAGGAGGCAAGACCAGGGTTCTGCTGCTAAACCACCGGTATGAGAGAGCTGTGAAAAAGTATTAGGTTGTTCAAAGCACTGAGAGTTGCCTTGGTACAAAGGCAAGCCTTGGTAAAAACAGTGGCTTTACACTGCAGAATGTTTTCTCAGTGACACATAAGGAATCAGTTGTACATAGGAACATGTGCTAACATATTGTGTCCTACTGCAGCAACTGGATTTAGCAACTGGCCATCTTTATAAGGTAGCCACTTTGTCATAAAGCACGGACAAAATGTCCTGTCCCATGTTCAGCAATGCTATCTATCCTCTAGCACAGAATCAAAACAGCCTTTTCTTGGATGCTCAGAATACATCCAGGAAGGGATGGGCACTAGTGTACATGTGAAGCTGGTTGGTTACAAAGGTTTGTGAGCCAGAAGGCATATGAACTACCCACCTGTTACTCAGTTTACTTTTCCCTAAGGTGAACTCAGTAGGCCTTAGAGGCAGCTGGCTTATTTTTACAGGATGTGCTGAGGACATTACAGCACCATCGTGCAGTTACTTGAATACATCTTACAGTTAGTGCTTCAGCCCAGTTTTTGGGTCTGGCCACATTTAGTCCACAACTGCCTCAACTGGATCACTCACAATTGCATCTCTCTACTGATTTTGCCACTAGATTACAGTGGGAGCTGATCCACAGTGCCATCCGTGGATCTGCCTGGTGGATCAACTTGGTACCAGTGTCCCATGTGATCAGCTTTGCTCTTCTAACAAGGCTATCCTTAATGTGCCTGCTCAGAAATAAGCCCCATGCAGTCTACTCTCAAAATGTGTATTGAGCATTTTAATACAGAAGAAACATTGCAAAGATCCAACCCATCTGAAGAAAGAGGAGCAAGTTTTGCCATGGAGTACTGCAGGGCTCCATTTTGTCCCCCAAGCTCTTTAACATCTACATGAAACTGTTGGGAGAGGTCATCAGGAGGTTTGATGACACCCAGCTCTACCTCTTATTTACATCTACCCCAGGTGAGGCAGTGGCTGTCCTGAACTGGTGCCTGGCCAAGGTAATGGGATGGATGAGGGCCAACAATCTGAGACTCAATCCAGATAAGATGGAGGTCCTTTTGGTGGGCGGTTCGGGCTTTCGGGTAAGTGATTTTGGTTCTGTCCTGGATGGAGTTGCACTCCCTCTAAAGGACAGGATCTGCAGCCTAGGAGTGCTCCTTGACTTGGAGCTGTCTCTGGAGGCCCAGGTGGCGAGGAGCACCTTCCTTCAGCTTCAGCTGATCCAACAGCTGTGTCCTTACCTGGATGAGCACTGCCTAGCAACAGTGTCACATGTGCTGGTAACTTCCCAGTTGGATTACTGTAACACGCTCTATGTGGGGCTGCCCTTGAAAACAGTCCACATACTTCACTTGGTACAAAATAGAGCTGCCAGGTTGCTGACAGGGGCCAAACGTTATTCTCGTATAATGCCGGTCCTCTACCAGCTTCACTGGCTCCCAGTTGAAATCCAGGCCAATTCAAGGTGCTGGTACTAACCTATAAAGTCCTAAACAGCTTGAGACCAGGATACCTTAAGGAATGTCTCCTTCCTTATATGCCCTCACACCCCTTAAGATCGGCAGGGGAGGCCTTGCTCCAGGAACCCTCCTTGAAGGAGGTACAGAGGATATCTACCCAGAGGAGGGCCTTCTCTGCGGTGGCGCCCAAACTATGGAATGCACTCCCCAGAGAGGTTTGCCTGGCACCGATTCTCTACTCTTTCCAGCACCAGGTAAAGACCTTTTTTATTTATCCACCATTTTGATAATTAATATCAATAATTTTAATAATAATCTTACACAGTTGCATTTTCTTCTTTCTTTTCTTTCTTTCCTTTTTTTCTTTACTTATGAACTGTTGCTTATGTTGTGCTATTATTGAATGTTTTAATTGTATTTTATATTACTATTTTTACCTTTTGTAAGCTGTCCTGAGGCTTGTTGCAAAAGACGGGATAGAAATGTATTAATTAAATAAAAAATTCAAGCCCCTGAGATAGCAAAGTCCTTTCTGCAATTGGTTGGCACAATTCCCTCCCCCCTCTGTAGCACTGGAAAAAATGTTCTGTTTGGGGACACATAATTATTTTCCCTTCTTACTGGCTCCTCAAAAAGTCTGGAGGGCTACAAGTTGCCTAATTCTGTATGCTATGAATTCTGAACTGCCCAGATAGAAAATGTTTTGATTATTTAAATTTTCAAATCTTGAGATTTATATGGAGAAGGAAGAAACCAAGGATTAAACTAAAAATACTTCAGGAGGCTAAAGAGAATGGGGGCTTTGGTCTCCCTGATTGGATGCTGTATTATCAAGCTTCTCTTTTAGCATGGCTAAAAGAATGGATAACCTTAAGAAATAAGAGCCTCTTGTATCTCAAAGGGCATGATTTGCAAATGGTTTGGCATGCTTATATGTGGTATGAAAAGGCTAAGCTAAATGGCTCTTTTTTAAGTCACTATATTAGGAAATCATTAATGTCGGTGTGGGAAAAGTTAAAGGCAAAATTGTATAATAAATTACCAAGATGGCTTTCACCTATGGAAGCTCTTGTATATTCAAATGCATTGAACTTTGAAGCGATTGTAAGATATGACGACATTTTGGATAATGATGGAGGATTGAAATTGAATCAAGAAATACAAGAACAAGGATCTAATATTTCTTGGTGGCATAAGGTGCAGATACAATCGAGATATGCTAAAGACTATAGAATGTGGGGCTTTTATAAAGCTTTAACAGCATTTGACCAGGTGATGCTTAAATCAGATGAGAAAATGATTTACAGACTATATAATTTCTTACTAGATAGGAGAATGGAAGATGAACAGGTTAAGGAAACTATGATAATGTGGGCACAAAACTTTGGATATAATATTGAATTAGAAAAATGGCAAAAGCTGTGGGAGAGAAATATTAAGGTAACATTAGCAACTTCATATAAAGAAATCCTGTATAAAATGTTTTATAGATGGTATCTGTCACCAAATAGACTAGCCAAGATGTTTCCAAATATGTCAAATGGATGTTGGAAATGTAAACATAAATTGGGTACCTTCTATCATATGTGATGGACTTGCAATAAAGTGAAAAAGTATAGGATTAAAATACATAAATGGCTTGAGAAAATGTTACAAAAATCCTTAGCTTTTAAACCTGAAGTTTTCTTATTAGGCAATATACTTGTTGATATTAGTAAAAAAAATGTACTTGATTTTACATGTAATTACTGTGGCGAGGATTGCATTTGCCCAACACTGGAAAAGTGAAGAACCACCCACCAATGAACTGATCCTAAAAAAGATCTTGGACTGTGCAGAAATGGACAGATTGACTTTGTCATTGAAGGAGGCTGAAGATACTGATTTCTCTCAAACTTGGGACTCTTTTTATTATTGGCTAGAGAAACAGGACTTTGTATAGATTCAAATATGTTTTTAAGTTATCATAAATAGAAAAAATGTGGGGGCTGACACAGCAGGTTCAATGTTTCTGATGATTGATGTTGTTTTTAGTTTTTCTTTGTATTAGGGTTATTTAGAATAAAACTTATTTAAGAAAAAGAATTCTGAACTGCCCAGAAAACATTGGCTATTAGGTGGGATAAAAAGAAATAATAGTACATAATAATACAGATTGGATGTATTTCTGTAAAGTGTGTTCCAGCTGTGGGAGCAGCTAGCTTTTGTTTGGTATAGGACATCATTAAGAAAATGTTTTTCTGAACTTTGAATGCCAGCAATGGGCATAAATGTGCCTAAAGAGGCATTGACGTTATTGGAGACAGACTTGGCTCAACCAGCACAGAGCTTATCAGCATCCAAGGGTCTCTCTAAAAGTACATTTGCAAATGACTACTAGCATTTAATGGAAGTGAGCAATTTCCTGTAAATCAATGTACTTTGCTTTAGACTTTGACTTCAGAACATGGCTACCCTTGAAAACAAATGGCAGAATAATTATTTTTGACCTCAGTATGAAAAATCAAATGTCATTTTTCCCATGTTGTACTAAGAACTTTGTGTTCCTAACAGGCTAAATAAATAGTATACACTGGATACCTGAAAAGGTAATCATTGGACCAAAATAATTCTTTGGATATTTTATTAAAGGACATGCCATAATTAATAGCTAAACAACTAATGCTTTTAAGGTGGGCCAGAAATTAAGGGTAATTGATTCTTCTGTTCCATTCCTGCCATTCCACTTTCAACAGTGGCTTATTCTGTCCATTAGGAAAAGTTAAATGCAGTCGGCATATACAGAACAAACATCAAGCAACAAAATGAAGAGCAGAAGCCTATTCATGATCATGTTAATGTGCCTGATGGCAGGCCAGGATTCTCTTTCTTTGCCTTCTGTTCTCAAATAGTGAGAATCAATATGTTCAGGAAGTCACTAGTTACGTCAGCTGGCATGCATATGATGAGTTCAAAGAAAGGCCTCAGCAGTTTTTATCCATTTAATCTGTTTAACTCTATAGCACATACCAATCCCAGAGACTTCGGATGGGTGTTGGTGATGAATGGAAA